TATTCTATGGCACGAAGTAAGAAAAAAATGTTATGTAAACATAGGTCATATAGAGCTTTATTAAGAAGTTATAACAAAAATTCAGGATAGGAATAGTAATCAACTTGCTGTTACTGCGAGCATATTGGCTTGAATAGATCAGCACATGCCGTGTGTTTATGTAAGCTGTGTTTATTAATAAATTTCAAAATGTCTACCGTTGTTGACAAATATATGATTGACATCGATCAAAGATGGAATTTATGACCGTGCGAATTTCGTCTCTATTCTCTTTCATTTCATTGAACGAAATTTTGTTATAACTTCTTAATAAAGCTCTATATGACCTATGTTTGCAGAACATTTTTTTCTTACTTTGTGCCATAGAATATACTGACAAAGTTTGAACATTAAAACCTGGGACACCCTGTATAATATATACATATATAACATCTTTTTATTTTGCATGTGTGCGCGCATTATTATATTATATTATATATCTTGAATTATTTCTTGCATGAATTCGAAGTTCTTCTGTGCGGAATGGAAGGCTTCCTCGAGTTCACCGGCGGCCATTTTGAACGGCTCGTGCTGCGCTGGGCGCATCCGAGCGGATGCTTTAGTTCCTTTGGGTGAGTTTTATCATTAATTATAATGATAATTATCAACCCCCATTCGCGATGTTCACAATTCCGAGTTTGACTCGGAATTTTTTCGAAACCTATTTCTGAAGATATTTCTTGCAGTCCTATTAGACTTCCTGTTGTTCCTACTGCAACAGCAGCTTATTTCATTTAACCCTTTGCCCTACAACCACGTCTGGGAGACCTGGTAAAAAAATTGGGCCAGAAATGACTATCACGTCTGAGAGACGTGGTAACAAAATCGGGCCAGAAATGACTATCACGTCTGAGAGACGTGGTAACAAAATCAGATCGGAAATGACTATCACGTCTCTCAGACGTGATAAAAAAATCGGACCAGAAATGAGAGTCGTAGTGCCAAATATAAACATTTGTCGGGCCAAATATAAACACAACTAGTTAGGCTCGTGTTAGACTACGGAATACGTATTATGTGGTCTTTGTTTTTCGTCATTTAATTGTTTAATTGCCGAAAATTGAATGATCAAGTGAACGATTTAAACGTTACAGCCAGATTTATATAATAATACAAAAAAAAAAATGAATTAAACGATTTAACCTTTTAGGTACGGCTGAATTCAGCGTGAGGCTATTTCTCTGGACTGCAGAGTCTGATGTGTACTATATAGAGTCTGATATTGTATATACAGGGTGTCCCAAAAATGTCTCGTAATCCGAAAGTGGCGGGTTCCTCAGGCCATTTGAAGCAACTTTTTCCTTTACAAAAATTTTCTCCGCGGCACCGTTAACGAGTTATTAACGAAAAACAGTGACCAATAAGAATCGAGTACGGCTGACGCGAGGCGGCCCGGCCAACCAGCGCGCGAAGCCCAGTTCCGCTCATTGGCTCGGTCGCCTCGCGCCAGCTGTGCTCGCCTCTCATTGGTCACTGTTTTTCGTTAATAACTCGTTAACGGTGCCGCGGAGAAAATTTTTGTAAAGGAAAAAGTTGCTTCAAATGATCCGAGGAACCCGCCATTTCCGGATTGCGAGACATTTTTGGGACATCCTGTAGACTGTTGTAAATTGATGTGAAGACAAAAAGGAGAGTGAAACAATGCATATGAAGACGATTATTATGAAGACGATTATAGCTACTAGAGCAAGCCACTATAGTGGCGCGGCGTCCAGAGAGATGACATCCGCGAAAGCCAATATATTGGCGCGTTGTGCCTAAAAGGTTAAATGCAGGGTAAACAAACTAAGTTTCAGCAGATGTAAAAAAATATGGGAATTATGTTTCTTTTGTTTCTGCCAGAAACGAGCTCCAGTCTCGAGTGATGCGACGAGCTTCGACACCGACGGACTTCGGTTGCGACAGCCATGCCACCGGCCTCGCAGCCGCAACTCTTTCGCTGTTCATCCGCGAGAACGTGGAAAACGCATTCAAATAGCTGAATAAAAGTTCTCGCGAGCGATCGCGAATATACCTCGCCTTTACCTCCACGTTCGAATTCCTCTCCGCTGACGTAAATCCGAGGATAACTCTCTTACTCGGTATTCCATTAATTTCATTCATTTATTGAGAAACAGCCTTACATAATATTTGTACTTTGCCGTTTAGTAGCAGCTTCGTAGTAGCAGCGGTAAATAATGAAACACTTCGAGCAACATAAGCGTTCGTTTGCTATATCAGACTTGAATCATCTTCGAAGAATCGCTTCTTTGTTTTTCTTTACAAAATAAAGTCTTATCTGTACGCCGATGAACAACACTGTGTCGATGGTTACTGTCTCAGAGAAATAATAAAAAAAAAAAGAAAAAAGAAAGAAGGAAGAACGAAAAGACGACGTCGAACGTATTAAAATAGAAACACGATAGAAAAATCAAAACAGTTCGTTCCTCGCGTTACAAATAAATCGGTTCTCGCCGCGGTGAAATAAAAAAAATCGGGCCTCGGAAAAATTCTCTAAAACAATTCTCTACCTAAAAAGCTACTCTGTATGTCCTGGCTTCAGATTTCGCGACCCTGTCGCCGCCGAATTTTGTAGAGTATCCGTCCGTTCGATCTCGGAAACGTCGAAAATTCGACGGGGGTGGAGAATTCGATTCGCGGCGAGAGGGTCGAAAGGAGAGACCGGCGAGTCACTCGGCGCGGAAGAAATCGGGACGACGTTACGAACGTGCGATAATTTATCGGACTCGTTCTAACAACGAATTACAAGCGGCGGTTCGTTCGGCGCGCGTTACACGGCCGCGCGTGTAACATTGGGGGTGGCGGGGTGCGGCGGGAAATGACGGAGCGAAATAAATAAAGTCAGTCGTTAACCTTGCGTAGGAGAGACTGGTTCTCGGCCGGTGAGGCAACGCGTATATTTTTGCATACGCTTTACATTTTCGTTATCCTTGAAAACGGAATCTATTCCCGTCCAGCGGAGCATCGGCGCCGCCATATTGATGCCGCGAGGCCCGAAACGCCGCGAAACGAACGGCGGCGGCGGTGCCGCCATATTGATGCCGCGATGCCCGTAATGCTGCGAAACGAACGGCGGCGGCGGCGGCGGTGCCGCCATATTGATGCCGTGACGCCCGAAACGCCGCGATACGAACGGCGGCGGCGGCGGCGGCGGTGCCGCCATATTGATGCCGCGAGGCCCGAAACGCCGCGATACGAACGGCGGCGGCTGCAGTGGCGGTGCCGCCATATTGATGCCGCGACGCCCGAAACGCCGCGATACGAACGGCGGCAGCGGCGCGGCGCCGCGGCTCTCGCGTCGTAGAAAAATATACCCCTCCTTTGCGCGACTCGGAAAAATAGTTTTATCGTAGAACGGACCCTCGAACGATCCTCGGTATCTCTTTGAAAGGAATTACGGAACGAAGGCACTGTTTGCGAAGAATAATTGTAGTCGTCGGTAGACCACGGATTTTGATGCGAGATAAAAATTGCCTGCGTTAATAACCCTTTGCGCCCGGATGGCGACTCTAAGGCACTCGTGAAAATTGTTATGTCACGTTTAAACATAATCTTAACGCCATCAGATTTGTTTATATTTAAAGAACAGTGTAACAATTGCATCAGAGCATAGAACTCAATTTCGTATGTATAAAATGCATTAGGTTGTATAAAATGGAAATGTTTACAGATTCGAGAAACTATTTTGGATTTCGTGTTAAAATGCTAGCTGCGTGGACAGCTTACTTTCGTTCTTGAATTAATAGAATATTAAAAATAATAGAATTTCGTTCTTGAATTAATAGAATATTAAAAATAATAGAATTTCGTTCTTGAATTAATAGAATATTAAAAATAATAGAATTTCGTTCTTGAATTAATAGAATATTAAAAATAATAGAATTTCGTTCTTGAATTAATATAGAATATTAAAAATAATAGAATTTTGTTCTTGAATTAATAGAATATTAGAAATAATAGAATTTCGTTCTTGAATGAATTGAATATATTAGAAATAATAGAATTTTCGTTCTTGAATTAATAGAATATGAGAAATAATAGTATTAGAATAATAAAATAGAAAATTAGAAATTCTCTGAATTCTAAAAATATACATTTTTTAAATTCTTTAAATGTTTTCACTGTTCGATAAATAATAATAGGAACATTCATCATAAATGCGCGAAATCCGCGGTCTGGTGATCGGTTTAAGCCGCCGAGTTCGTCGACTGAACGAACAGAGAAAAATTCCATCTGTTCGAAGTCTTTCGAAGGAGGACGGTCTATCGTTTTCCGCAGCATTTTCTTGCCCCGTAGTTTTCATCCGAAGTTCGCGCGTCGACCACCGTTCCGGACAGAAGATAAATAGCCGAACGAACTGATAGAAAAATAACAAAACTGCTGAAATATTTGCAATCGCTCGTTTCGAAATTTTTATTCCATTTGTACCGTGTGTCCGAGCGTTCGAGAACGTTGCAAAAGTTCGTAGATCCCGATAATCGTCCGAGAGCGCAATCGCCCGTTGCCATAAATACGTTCTAATCTATCGTTCGCGATTAGCGTTGCGTCACGAGACACGACTCCGCGGTATCCGATGGATCTTCCTGCCGGCGGGAAGCCGCGGTGCCTCGTGCTTTGGTGTGATTGCGCCGATCGAACATCAAGCGACCCCACTGCGAAGCAATTGGACCGTTCTCATCGGTTAATCTTCGGGGGAAATTCGCGCGTTTTAGATCGTTCTTGTCGCGTGACCCTCCTGCCGCGGCCCTTTTCAAGTCCGCCGGTAAGTGTACGGCTTGCCGTAGGGACCGATCCTGCTGTTCAGCTTGTTGTACTTCAGCTGCTGGAAGTAGCTGTAGACCACCAGCCACAGATACGAGAAGGTCGCTGCAAGAAAACAGTGATCGTGTTTATTATTGTTTGTTTGAAAGTGGCGGGTTCCTCAAGTCATTTGAAGCAACTTTTTCCTTTACAAAAATTTTCTCCGAAGCTTCGTTCGCGAGTTATTAACGAAAAACAGTGACCAATGCGAGGCGAGCTCGGTTGGCGTGAGGCGACGGAGCCAATGAGCAGAACTGGGCTTCGTGCGCTGGTTAGCCGGGTCGCCTTGCGTCAGCCGTACTCGATTCTTATTGGTCACTGTTTTTCGTTAATAACTCATAAACGGTGCCTCGGAGGAAATTTTTGCAAAGGAAGAAGCCATTTCCGGATTGCGAGACATTTTTGGGACATCCTGTATACAAAAATATATGGTACAAATTCTTGGTGTCCCAAATTATGGTACTTCAGGGAAATTACAGATTCCTGAGGTCATTGCAAGCAACTTTTTCCTTTACAAAAATTTTCTCCGAAGCTTCGTTCGCGAGTTATTAACGAAAAACAGTGACCAATGCGAGGCGGCTGAGCCAATCAGCGGAACCGGGCTTCGTGCGCTCGTTGGCCGAGCCGTCAAGAGCCAGCCGCCTCGCGCCAGCCGAGCTCGCCTCTCATTGGTCACCGTTTTTCGTTAATAACTCGTAAACGAAGCCTCGTAGAACATTTTCGCTGAGGAAGAAGTTGCTGCAAATGACCTCGGGAACCCATAACTTTGGAACAAGAAGTCGCGCAGTTTCTTTATAAAAAAAATACCCAGAAAAGGCAAACAAAAAAATCGCGTTCTAAACTAGAACAGCCTCGTAAGTATAATAGACGGTCGAAGGTACTCACCGGAAGCAGCGCTGCCGATGACAAGCCACAGAATGCCGGTTTCGGTAACATGATTGACGAAGAACATGATCGCGGTGTAGATCACGCTGATTAGAAGTCCGACCGCAAGGATGATACCCAGGGCGACCCACGGCAGCATCATGAACGTATTTTGCTATAAAAACGTATTTTTCCGTGCTCAATGGATATCGGAAAGGGGCGACGCGCTACGATTACGGTCGTTCCGTTTCACCGGCAGCCAAGGTTGCCGTTGCCAAGGAATCGCGGTTTTTCTCCTTACTTTGACTGCGCCGACGATGAGTAACGTCGAGATCAGGATCGTCATGCACAGATTCAACGCGTAGATGATCTTGACGATGTTCTGGTCCAGATTTTCGAACAGTATCGTCTTCCATTCCACGTCCATAGTGAAGATCAAGTACAGCGAGAGGATCGAGCAGGCCTGAACGACGACAAAGAGAAACCGAGTGGTGAGAGCTTCTCGTTAACCGTTTGAGTCCCAGGGGTTATTCGGAAAACACGGCCGAAAAGTGGCGAACAGCGTAATTAGCGTTCGTCTTAATTAATTGCGAAGAGAACCAAGCGGCGCGATGGCGCTCGTCAAGATCGACAAACAAAACAAAAGGAAAAAAAAGAGGAAAAAAAGCAGCTACGCGATGCACGCGCGTCACTAAAGTTTGATGCTTGCTTAAGGCTCCTTTGCTGTTTGGGACTCAAACGAGAGTTTGGGACTCGAATGAGAGTTAAGGAAGCGAACGCCGAATATCGTCGCGTTAAGAAGAATTCGACGACACTCACTATGCTGAGTACTCCGGTGATGATGGTACCAGTTTTCACCGTGTAACAACCGCAGCACGACGTCAACTGCATTCTGCGAACAATTATGAAAAATTTTCATAAATCGCTTTTTTTACTCGACTCGACACTGTTCGCTCGCTCTGTTCCCAGGTTTTGTTTTCACGGATATACGATCGCTGAACGGAGTTCCCGACGAGAACGCGACAGGGAACGAGATGGAATTTGGATCGCGGGCAGATTTAGAAGCGGGAGTATTTTTAAGACCGATCGATCCCGCATTCCCGCTCAAAGATCATTGTCTATTTAGCCACGATCCACATTCTCCCGACGCTAAATCGTCCGAATCGTCGTGGAACCTCTGTTTCAGCGATCTTTTCGATTTCCTATTCAAACAGGATCTGTGACATTAAAGATCTACCGTGCCGGTCGAAATTCACCGGCTTCACTTTTCGTATTTGAAAATTGCTGAAATTGTAAAGTCTCTTCCGTCGGAAACGATTTGAGCCGTTTATTTTGAAAGTGGCATAAGTCACTTTGTTTTTAAGTCGATATATTTAAGGGTTTGCGTTGTTATCTCAGGATACTGATATTTTTCTCAGTATAAATAATTTCGTATAAACATTAAAAAATCACCACTTTTCATTACGGTAAAGTGATTTATGCCACTTTCAAAATAAACGGCTCATTTAATGAATTTCTCAATCGAATGTATTTGTCGTAATCGAAATTGCGGAAAATTCAAATGAATTCAGTGTTATCATTCTTACATCATTCTTATCATTCTTATGTCACTATTATCATTCTTACATCATTCTTATCATTCTTATATCACTATTATCATTCTTACAGTCTTTAAAATAACCTTGACATAACCCTGACATAAACTAAAACCAAAAGAAGACCAAAACCAAAGACAAAAAGAAAACGTAATTATAGCGATCCTGTTTAGCTGCGTTTGATTCCAGAAACTCCGTTAATCGTATTTTTCGGTTCATTAAAGCAGGCAATAATAATTAACAGCGAGGATCGTGCAGATCGTTGATGATTTTTAAAGATAAGCGGAAGATTGATCGAAATCGCTCGTCGTGTTTGAAAATTGCTGAAATTATAAAATCTGTTTCGCAGGAAACGATCGCATAAATTTCTCAGTCCAAGTATTTGTCGTAATAAAAATTGTGGAAAATTTAAATGAATTCAGCCTTGTCGTTCTTACAGAGCAACACGCGCTCGTCGTTTTTAACGCTCGAAGAGGATGAAAATTCTGTGAATATGAGATTAGCTTCGAAGAAGTCGTCGCTCGTCGTCCGCGATATTTTTCAATTTACAGTTTACATTATAGTATATATTAGAATATACATATATATATATATATATATATATATATATATATATATATATATATATATTTAATTTAACTTATTATAATATTTTATTCTTATATCTTTAATTTAATCTCGCGGCACGTTTCTTTAGTCACCGATTGTCAACAACGATAAAAAACGAGCCGCAAGACTCGAATAATCGCGTCTCTTCCCAAATCGTCCATTTTGTGTCCAGTGAATTTTTAATAAATTTATCAATCAAGTTGTGGACGTCAATTAGAGAGAATATACTCGCTCTTCGTTACCCTTTCATCTTGCCGCGTCGCGCGTTTATTTCGCGAACGAGCAGAGACCGTTCGCCCGGCCCAATGGCGTAATCGTCTTATTAGCATGTCGGTGTCGTTACGTCGGCGCTGACGCGGCGTCGTTCACCTTACTCACTTTTATTTCAGACGGTACACGACGCAGAAATCATGAAAAAAATTGCTCGCTATGCAAATGAGGCGCGCGCGCGCTTTTCCGATGCCGCGGCGCGGCGCGGCTCGATTCGATCGCTGGCAATGACGAACGCGTCGATCGCAAGAAATACAAGCTACGCCGAAGTGTTCGCGCGATTAGAATTCGTTCGGCGAAACGAAACGCGATATTATTTCGGGCACGAAATTATTTCTGCGCCCGAGGACGATGTTCGTCGACTGTAATTCTTTTCACCGAATAGGTCACGGTGTCCCAGTTTCCGCGCCTGTCCCAAATTCCGTGCCCCCGGATTAAAAACGCGTTGAAAAATGGGACGTTTCGTATGTAAACCGCTTCCTGGATGGTCACGGAATTAGGGTCTCGGAAATACCTTTTTCTATTTCATTAAAAATATTATTAAATATTAATAGTATATTTTATTAATACTTTAATATTAATAGCATTATTAATATTTTAATATTAATAGTATTATTAATACTTTAATATTAATAGCATTATTAATATTTTAATATTAGTAGTATTATTAATACTTTAATATTAATAGCATTATTAATATTTTAATATTAATAGTATTATTAATATTTATATTTAGTATACTATTATAATAGTATTATTAATATTTATATTTAGCATACTATTATTATAGTATATTAATATTTAAATATTATTATTATTATTATTATTATTATTATTCTTACATTATTATTATAAATAATAATAGTATTAATTAAAAACTTAAATAATTATCTATATTAATTACATATTGATTATTAATACTTTTCATGCAGCAAAATATGTTTCGACATGAAAATCTCGGAGAAATTGAAATATATTTTTCGCGCGTTAAACGGAAATTATAGTATTCAATGACGGTCCCGGCGAGAGGCAAAAATTGGCCTGAGGGCACGGAAACTGGGACATCTACCCTAGTTGGCGATACGAAGCTGTTCGTAAGGCCGTGCGAAGTGCGTTCGATGATGTCAGCTGCAATGTCAGCGAAACGTTCGAACGAATTTTTGCGAGCGACAGAGGCGGGAAAGGGAAGCACCGGGGAGCGAGAAACGCGAATTCCACGTTCGCGCGGTCCCGCGTGGCATTAAACGGCGCCGTTTGATTCTCGCGTCACGCCGAGAATAGAGGGAATATGGGTCATTGGCATAGGTGTCTATTTTAACTTGTTCAGCGGCTTCTGTCTCCCGTCGCTGACCTTCCCTTCTGCGTTTATTATTCCTTCGGACGGTCGTATCCGGCCGCGCGCCGACGGTGGAAAAACACCCTCGCGGCGCGAACGTTTACCGCGGAACAGAATTTCCAACGAAATAACGTTATCGTATTTCCCCATCGAATCGATTGAATTTTACGAAATCGTCGAATCGTCCGGTTTGCTAAACAACACTGTCCGACGAAATCAAACTTTTTTTCTGGGTTCCTATAGCCACTATGAAATTCTTGTAGAGCTTCACTCCCTGAACAAGAATCCGAAAACCGAATTGCTCCATCACCCTCAGTTTTTTAAACAAACGAACTTTTGTAAAAACCCAAAATTTTCGACAAAAATGAGGTATTGCATGAAAAGTAAAAACGTTAGAAAGTTCTAATTGGTGTTAAAAGATAGAGGAGAGTTTCCCGAATATAGTGGCATGCAATTTATTAATCGTTTTTGGTCCTAAATAGCAATGAATTGATGTCAAAGTTTAAAAAAGTGTAGACGTGCGCAGTTTCTCCGCAATATTTTTGTATTTTTACGAAAAATTCTTTGTTCAGCACGAAAACTCTACCCAGGATCGGATTCTGTAGACATTTCTGAAGATGAAACGGCCCGGTAAAAGTGTCGGAACGCTATACGTTTCGAGTAGATCGAGAAAATGTTCGACGGCAACATGTATACGACGTTTTGCCGGACAGAAAGAAGCGAGCAGCGAAGCACATGGCGGCAAAATATCGTGTACATGTTGCCGACCAACATTTTCTCGACCTACTCAAAATGTACATCGTTTCGACACTTCTATCAGGCCGTTTCTTCTTCAGAAATGTCTACAGAATCCGATCCTGGGTAGAGTTTTCGTGCTGAACTAAGAACTTTTTGTAAAAATACAAAAATATTGCGGAGAAACTGCGCACGTCGACACTTTTTTAAACTTTAACATCAATTCATTGCTATAAAGGACCAAAAACGATTAATAAATTGCATGCCAATATATTCGGGAAACTCTCCTCTATCTTTTAACACCAATTAGAACTTTCTAACGTTTTTACTTTTCATGCAATACCTCATTTTTGTCGAAAATTTTGGGTTTTTACAAAAGTTCGTTTATTTAAAAAACTGAGGGTGATGGAGCAATTCGGTTTCCGGATTCTTGTCCAGGGAGTGAAGCTCTACAAGAATTTCATAGTGACTATAGGAATCCAAAAATCGTGTCGCTCATTATAACGAGCGAATTTTTCGAACTCTGAAATTAGTCGGAACGATAAGAATTATTGAAACACGATTTGTTTAATTTTCGTTGCAGGCTCAGATAAAAGGGTTAAAAGAACGTATCATCTTTAGTGTACGAAAGATGTATAAAAGAAATTCTGTACGAATGAACAGTTTCGTTTCGTATGAATTCGACGAAAGAGATAATTTCACAAAAATTCGTTGCGCGATTGTGATTGGTTAAAGAATTGGCGAAAGAAAGGATATTTTCACAGTGTTACGATTGCATTGTGGATTTTTAGGCGAAGCAAAAATCGTTTGCATCGATTGCACGGAACACGGGTTGAATAATAAAGCTGTACTTCTTTTAATAGTTCTAATAAGTTGAAAATGGCGCGACGAAATTGTAATTGTTGTCTTCTGGTGTCTTCGTTGCTTCGTACTTCACTTGTCCATTTTTATTATAAATACATGAAATCGGTAATCCAGTTATTATCGACGTAATTACCGGTAATCGGCTGTTTATTTTTACATATTTCAATTTCATTGCACATGTAACGCGTGTTGTACAACAAAAATTAGGTTATACAGTCTGTCTCTAAAAATATTGTGAACGCTGCAAAGGGGTGATTTGAAGTAATTTATATACTCGCTAATTTAACGACTCGTTGACAAAAATCTGTTTCATCCATTTTTATTCATAAACAGATTGCGGATCAAAGTAGACATTTTCGAAGACGATTGTAAGAGACAGGAATAAATAAAAATAAAAATAAAAATAAAATAAAATAAATAAAAATAAATAAAATAGAATAAATAAAAATAAAAAAAATAAATAAAATAGAATAAATAAAATAA